GGTTTTATATATACATTTGAATAACTAAAAAAATCATAAATTACTACATTAATACCATAGAATCCCCCTATAATTTATTAAGCTTAGTAACTAAGCTGTATTTTAGTCTAAATAAATATGAAATTTCGTGCAGACTAAAGACACACCCTACCTCATTGAAATATTGGTTCAAAAGAAAAAATGGCCTACAAACCTGTTAAAATAGCTGAGACTGCCACTAGGGGGACATCCTGAGCATCCGATTGGTTATTCTGTCATATATAGAAGTAAGTGTATATAAGGGAGTGTTTCCAAAAATGGAAAGAGGTAGGCGGGGTGCCACTGTGTTTGATATATTACATAAGTAATATCTTAGCAAATAGAAAAGATAAGACCTTCTTATTTTATATTCTAGCTTGTCAATATCGGCAATTTGAGTTGCTAATTAGTTCAATAAAATTTTGAATGCGAGTCAACAAACGAGATGATATGGCCCTTCACCCCTGACCCATCTTGAAAGGGTTAAGTTTTATAACATTATTTAAATTACAGTATTAAAATGTTCACTGTGATTTTATTTTTCTATCTATTGGTCTCTTTCCTGTGTACCGAACGACTCGATTGGTACTTCATATTTACAGGAACTTTCAAAAATACGGGCAGTTGCGTGACTCACGCTGCCCAGATAATGGAGATTTCACTCTAGCTTATTTCAATTAGCATCATCTAGTTTAGTATAGGTCAGTCAGAGCAGTGGCATTTTTTAATTTACTGCAAATGTTTCATTTATGTTATGTCATTACATATAACAGCATCGGTCATGTTCTATTAATTAATAGTTCGTATTTTCATCAATTCTCACTCGCATTTAGCAACTATAAAGCGAAAGGTGCCGGGGCCCCGGGCATCCATATCGGGAGGGTATACAACGCAAAGAGTCGAATCGAATAGTAGAACCCTTTCCGCCTTCCCCAAGGTCGTAGGTACAAGGCCCCGGGCATCATAGAACCTCTACACGCAACTGGCCATGTGCAGTCCCCTTTAAAAAGAAAAGCCTAAGACTGTTCAATATGTGGACTTTGGGATTAAGTAAAATGTCTTAAAACTTTGGTCAGGCAACATTTCTCTAAGGATTATCTTCTAATCAATCCGAAAAGCTAAAAATTTACTATTGCTTTTGTCTGAGTGAGTGCCACTTAGAAAACAAGCAAAGAAATTAAATTTTCCTATAAAATTATGATGGAAAGTTTAAGGATAGCAAAACCTACAGTCAAACAAACTGTGGTAATTCCTGTGGTTCAAAAATACCTAAAATATAAATAATACCTTAAATGAAAAGTCTAGCTCCATTGAAAGGACATCATTATCAACAGGAAACAGCTCCAAAGCACACTCATCCACATCGGTGAAAGTTCCATAAACCCCTCGTTCCTATATTTCATAATATTTTAGGTTTTTTTAGAGAGTATTTCTGATACGTGTTACTAAAGAAAAGAAATAAAAATGGGCAAGGGATCCTTTTAAAATATTGGTTCTAATTTTCAACATATTTTTATTACGTCTACACCACAAACTAATTTTTAAATACATACTGTCTTTAATTGGATAAGAAAAATAAGTAATTTCATATTTATAAATAATTTACAAATAATTTAAAATAGTTACAAGTTAAAAATTAGTAATACTTATATCCAAAACAATGATAAATGTCAAGAATATTCCAAACTTTAATGTTTAAAAAACAACAACTTCAAGGTTCATAATTTTGTTTTCTGTCAAAAGATCACTTCATTTTGTACCAGCTTTTCTATCTGCATTTTCAAAGGTAAAACTAGGAACTAAGCAAAGTAATATAGCCAAACAGAATGAAATATTAACTTCTTAATTAAGAATTTTTAAAAAAGCATCTTTTATGAAGTCATCAAGATTGTTTTTTCACAAACTTTAGACAGAACTGTAACCTAACGCAACTAGTAACTAATTATTATTACTAAAACAAAAGCACTGATCTGTAAACTGTAAAAAACAATTGCAGTTTTGGTTGAACTGAAAACAGACACATTTCTAAGCCTGCATTAAGCCTGAGCAATACTATTTTCAAATGATAATTTTTTCCCTCTTGCACAAGTACATCAATTCTAACATGAAAGTTATAATTTTCCTACACTGAAAATGTATTTCGAATAGGTGATTAAATAGCTATTCTTGTTCAGTGCTGCCCTCTATATGCAAAACATTTTTTTTATGCATGCCACAAGCCTTTTATCTCCCCTCCATTGATATTGACTGATTCCAATGCGTCTCTCACGCAAATTATCGTTTGTCAGCTCTCCACCAATAGGAGTGCAACATACTCTCATGATGCATGTGACACCCTCTCTTCCATTCTACCTAACTATCACTTCCAGTTTTGGCAGAAGACGGAAGCACCAGTTTTCAGTGGGAAGGAAGGTAAGTATTTATCGGAAATACATTTTCAGTGTAGGAAAATTATAACTTCTGCAACATTACATTACCTCCACTCACATAAAGATAGAAAGAAGCATCCTTCAAAAGCGTCCAAAGGACACTCTCAAAGATGAGACATTCAGATTCGAAGATCTGATGTGGGGATCTGCACCACATCTGAACCAAGTATACTCTTTGCCCATCATAGAAAGATTTTGCATATATGGGCAGAAAACAGAGGAGCACATCCAAATGGGAGAGAACTATGGCTGGAAAGTGATCTGAACAATGCAATAGTTATTAAACTCTATCTCAGAAAGTATAAAAGTGGGTAAAATGAAAAGAATGTGCATCTAGGTGTAGAGTAGCTAGGGCATGATGGACCCTACATGCTAAGTCAACTACATCCAAAACCCCCATGCTGTCAGGAATCAATATCCACACAGGAGTAGGATGAGGATCATACCATCAGTAAGTCGACTACATCAAAATCTCATGCTGTCAGAAATCAATATCCACACAGGAGTAGGATGAGGATCATACCATCAGTAAGTTGACTACATCCAAAACCCATGCTGTCAGGAATCAATATCCACACAGGAGTAGGATGAGGATCATACCATCAGTAAGTCGACTACATCCAAATCTCATGCTGTCAGGAATCAATATCCACGCAGGAGTAGGATGAGGATCACACCATCAGTAAGTTGACTACATCCAAAACCCATGCTGTCAGGAATCAATATCCACACAGGAGTAGGATGAGAATCATACCATCGGTAAGTCGACTACAATCCAAAACCCAACTGCTGAGTACCGACATCCATGTGGGAGTGGGGGGAGGGTGGGAAAGAGGATCATACCGGAGGTAAGTTAACTACAATACAAAACCCAGCCATCTGGTGAGGGTAGGAAAGAGGATCATATCATCTTCACATCATGTTCATGAAACCAGAGGGAATCTAGTACTACCCAACTCACGAATGTGGCACATGTGAATATGTTAAATTGACAGATTGATCTGAAAACCCGACAACTGTTATGGAGAAGGTGTCTACATAATGTAAACCATCTCCCTCAAATGCAAAATTGACTGGAGCCACACCAAGTGCATTAACATTTTCGGAATAAGAAACATTGAGGGATAGCGGAAGGGAAAGAACCTTAATGATCCACAATTACCTTCACCACAACCTACAACACTGATGGAGTATAAAAGAGGGAGGAATATAGATATCTGTAATACATGTGTGAGGACTTATGTTGATTAGTTCTACTATAAATCCAAAACCCAGCCACTTGGAACTGACATCCACATGGGGGTAGGATGAGGTATCCCAATCAAAGTGGAGAACTGCTACTTGACATCTCACTCCCGTTTTTTTTATACATTATCTACAAAAGCAGAACACCACTACCCTGCTCTCAACTGAATGGTTTTATAATCATTTCTACATTTTGTTAACCCATTCAGGAGGATGCCTCTAAGGTCCACCACACAAACAGATTGGAACGACAACACCTGAGACAGTACAACTGGTGATCACAAAACCCTTTTTTTACAAGCAGAACATACCAATTTATTCAATACAAGGCATAGCAGCGATAAGCAGGGATAAGAAATGGGTACTCAAGACAAAGGAGGGGGGAGGAAATTGGAGGACAACCCACTGATAACCCATTGATCTGTGGTGATAGAGCACCAAATGGGAACAAATTCGCACAATCGAGCTCCCACTGGACCGAAACTCACTGGGTAGTCACCAGTACTGTTGGCATCATGCCCATCTACATTGAATAAAATGACAAGATGAGGAACACCGGGAGAGAGAAACAAATAAGGGTTGAGAAGGTTTGGGACGGGAAACAGTAAAAAGGGCTTTTCGTGGTTCTGACTGCGACAAACGAGCTACTAAAGAGGAAAGGGTAAAGTGTTAATACACAGATTCCACACGATTCCAAAGTCTTAAGTACATGGTCGAAAACTTACTGCCGAAGAAAAGGGGCCATACATAAATATCTTAGATAAGTGGACGGTAAGAAAACCTGGGACAAGGATGCATCATAACCCAGAAGTTCCTAACAACAGAAACCACGTGTGTAAAGCAAGAGCTGAAGACAACAAATGAGCCAATGTGGAGGTAATAAGTGAGAGGCTGTCCCTCAAAAAACCCTCAGGATCTTGGTGGATTGCCTTGGAAAAGAGATGGATGGTAGATAAATACCATAGAAGTGAAGTAAAAGTAAGACAAAGGCATAAAAACTGGGTATGGGTTAAATGCACAGGAAAGTCACGGATCACTCACACACACAGGTAAAATAGACCCAAATTGCTGAGAGTCGAGAAATGGACAGTCAGCTTTATTGTCAGCCAAAGCACACTGATTCGTAGCCCATGGAGTGCAAGGCATGCTAGCACACTCAACCAATTATGAAGCATATTGCTCAGCATGAACCCTAATATCTGAGAAGGGCAGAAAAACCAAATATGGAGAGGAAGAACTATGATGTAAAAAAGATAGACGGGGATCATAGGAATTCGAGGAAATGGATAAATTATCACATACCTGAGAAATAATGTCTAAAAATGCTGTATTAGGCCTAGCTTATTCTGAAGGTTGGGCATAGGAAACCACAGCAAAATCCGGTAGTGGAAAAAAGCTATCAAAATCTTCATCAACCCAAACAGGTTTGGCTTGTTCAGGAGAAGGTGGTTGACCCATATAATGATCAATCTCTCAGCAAATAATCTCTGATAAATCCAAAATGGGTCACCCTCACCTGCAATCTGTGAAAGAGTGCTTGTAGGAAGTATGATACCTGACGTGGTAACATAAACCTCAGAATTCACATCAGAAATATGAATCAAACAAAAATTTTTGATAGGCAAATGCAAATGTGAGAGAGAAAAAACATTAATGACTGGGAATATAAGTTAAAGGCAATTGCAATATAATGAAAATATTAAGGAAGAAATCCCACTTTGGAATTGAAACTATTAAAGTTACAAGTGCAAAGCACATGAAAAACACCAAAAGCAAACAATTTCTGAAGACAAGTACTGCCAAACAAAAGATGATAGATAGGTAGAATGGAATAGAGGGAGTCACATGCATCATGAGAGTATGTCACATTCCTTTTGGTGGAGTTGATGCACGATGATTTGCATGAGAGACACATTGGAATCAGTCAACTCTAATGGAGGGGGAGATAGAAGGCTTGTGGCATGCATAAATTGTTTTGCATGTAGAGGGCAGCACTGAACAAGAATAGCTATTTATGTGAGAAGAGGTAATGTACCATATCAGAAAATATTATGAGATTACTAAAGATAAAAAGCATATTTTACCTCTAACTTTTTTTCACAGAGAAGCGTTCTCCTTGGAACAAAGAAAATGTGAAATTCTTTCTTTGGACCTCTTTGCTCTTCCTCTCTATGTAAATAACAGAAGTTTTAAAACTGACACTCACAGACAGATAATCTTAGCTTCAGAACATAACTATAAAAATTAAAAACCAGCAACTTCAAGCCCAGATTTAGAGCCGGGTGATTTCACTGATTAATTTAGAAGTGATTACACTAATTAATGTAATACAAACTAATAGGTTAATTGATATAAATTGATTAATCAAAATTAGTATTTCAAATTATTATTGTTTCTCATAATTCCAACGATTGACTAATTCAAATTATACTTAAATCAACTGTCAATAAAATAATCGACTTAATCAAAATCAGTGGTTTTGATTATTATTGTGTTCAATTATTCCAACAATTGATTAATTGAAATTATAATTAAATCAACTTTCAATAAAATAATCAACTAATCAAAATCACTGGTTTTGATTATTCCAACAATTGATTAATTGAAATTAGAATTAATCAACTGTCACTAAAAATAATCAATTAATCAAAATTAGTGTTTCCAATTATTTCAACAATTGGTTAATCATAATTCTGACCACTGCCACAAAACTATCATTGTTTTTGATTATTCTAGGATTAAATTAATTAAAATTACAATTAAGTTGATTGTCATGAAAATAATCAACTAACCAAAATTAGGGCTTCTGATAATTCCCACTACCCAAGTAATAAAATATTGCTATCGTATTTCTTTGTTTTTAAGTTACATAATGAGCTATCTGTATTCTGCTAAATTTTAGCTTTATATATATTTTTTTTTAACTTCAAGTTTGTTCAGCTTTGGTGATTTAGTAGAGTGGGTTCTTGATTTAAGGGTCTCAGGTTTGATTCCCATTCTCACCAAATTTACTTGCCCTGTCTTAATTATGACAAAGCTTCTAAGGCTATCTGCCACTGTTACTAATTTTGAGCTGTTGACTAAATGGAAGGTAATTGGCTGGTAACACCCACCATCAGTTAATGGAGCTGTTGATTATTCAAATAGTAGATACCACCAATCATCCAGTAATATGCAGATTTCTGATTAAATTTATGAATACTGGAAACAAATTAGCGAATCTATTTCACAATGAAATGTATAACATCATTTTGAGACTTCAATTATTCCAAAGATATATCAGTATTTGTCAAGAAAAAGAATTTATATGTTATCTCCGAGAGCAATTTTCATTTTATACACATAAAGCAAAATCCTCAGGATTATCTGCATTTATGATTACATATGTATTCCTCAGTTCCTGTACGAATTTAATAAGTTGAAGAAGAGGTTACAAAATTCTCAAGCTTTATATATTTTTTATTCTTGGAAGAAGATGTTCCGAGAGATTAGAGCACTAACTTGATACGTCATCTTCAACAAATAAAAATATATAAAATTTGGCTATTTTATAACCTCTTTAATTTCTGTGCCTTTGTCACCAATGCAGTTAACTATATTCACTTCTTTTTATGCATTTCATTAGTTTAGATAGCTGATTCCATCCTTTTTAATAGTGCAATATTCCATGTAAAAAAAACTAAGTAAAATTATACTGCATTAATCTGCTTTAGGCCCGGTATGGCCCGGTGGATATGTCACTCGACTCGCAATCCGAGGGTCACGGGTTCGCGTCCTTGTCGCACCAAATATGCCCACTTGGGCGTGGAGCTAGCAACTCCACCCCGATAACAATCTGCTAAAGAAACTGCAACAACACTTCCGTCGGAGAAGTGTTGTTGTAGCCCTATGTTCCACTAGGAACGACAGGAACTCAGAAGAAGAAGAATCTGCTTTAATGATTTGCTGTTCTCCACTCCAATACGGTATCACAACCCTTCTTTCAACAGCAATAATGAATGACGGGGCCCAACATAACACCAGGACTAGGAAATAGTAAATCAACATTTTGTACTTTAGTTTTTCTTGTTCATTATTAGTAGACAAAATTTTAAATACTGATAAAAAAAAATCGTAAAATAAACTAAATATTTTTAATGCCATACATTCATTTATCCGTTTGTAAATCGCTTAGTAAACTTCCGCTTTTGAGTGAAAAAGTTTTCCTTCAGAAGCATACTACTTCAATTGACACGTACATTAAACAATATAATTATTTAATTGCAATTATCAGACCCTGCTTTTGTTGCAATGTAATTCATTGTGACAGAACTAAATGCTTTTGTTTACAAATGACTTATTAACTTATTGAATTATTAGTTCTAAATAAATGATTTAACCACTTTGTTATGCCTTTAGTGCCCTTTGTCACTTAGCTATGCCTTTGTCATTTAGCAATACCCTTTGTCACTTTGCTGTGCTTTCTGTTAGTTTGGCCTTTTTTCACTTAGCCCAAGCCCTTTGCTGTGCTTTTTTTCACTTAGCTATGCCTTTGGCTAGTTTAGCCTTTTGTCAATTAGCTATATCTTTTGTCACTTAGCTACTCTTTTGTCAATTAGCTATATCTTTTGTCACTTAGCTATGTCTTTTGTCAACTAGCTATCTTTTGTCACTTAGCTATGCCTTTTGTCACTTAGCTATGATTGATTTATTATACAGTTTCTTGACAAAGTGCTTTACATTAATTATATCATTGGACAAAGTATGAGGTACCCTTATCAAGGCATACCATATTTCCTAGGAACAGTAATGACAGCATGCCAAACACACCTCTAGTGTAAGCACAGGGTTAAAATGAAGCATGTGTAAACTTGCATCTATTTTCCCCTACAGAGCAGGTTATCTAAAGCTATGATTCAAGCCTCAAATAAATATAACTAACCAAATATCTGTTTGGTTCAATTGATAAAATATCATTTTGTTAAGACAGTAACATTCTGAATGTTTCTCTCTGTTAGTCCGAGTTTCTTGATATTCCTTTATTTATCCTTGCAATGTACAACTAAATACTCTTATCCTCACAGAATTTGTTTATTCAATAAACGTTGAGGTTATCATTTCTACAGTTATTCACCTTAGAGGGAATAACACTGTTCACAGAATGTTTAGATTACAATACAAAAAACACTTTATATTAATGGAATATTCAACAACTCAATAAATTATTCATTCTGTATCATAACTTACTGTAGATACATTGCATTTATATTATAGCTGTTTGTTCAGTGGTGATTGGTAATTAGAATCTAAAGTTCAATCTCAAACAACTTTATACTCATTCTGGTTATTACAACAAAGGACTGATAACTTACTGTACTTACTTCAACCTCATCATTCTGGTTATTACAACAAAGCATTGATAACTTACTGTACTTACTTCAACCTCATCATTCTGGTTATTACAACAAAGCATTGATAACTTTCTGTACTTACTTCAACCTCATCATTCTGGTTATTACAACAAAGGACTGATAACTTACTGTACTTACTTCAACCTCATCATTCTGGTTATTACAACAAAGGACTGATAACTTTCTGTACTTACTTCAACCTCATCATTCTGGTTATTACAACAAAGCATTGATAACTTTCTGTACTTACTTCAACCTCATCATTCTGGTTATTACAACAAAGGACTGATAACTTTCTGTACTTACTTCAACCTCATCATTCTGGTTATTACAACAAAGCATTGATAACTTTCTGTACTTACTTCAACCTCATCATTCTGGTTATTACAACAAAGGACTGATAACTTACTGTACTTACTTCAACCTCATCATTCTGGTTATTACAACAAAGCTTTGAGAACTTTGATTTAAGTTTTCCTTAAAACCACCTGTCATTACCCACCTTAAGATACTATAAATTACAATATCATTATGACTGAATACTTATAAAGACACTAAGGATACAATTACTATGAAGATTTATTATAATAATGAACACCAGGTTGCGTTATAAAATATCATACTTTAAAGTACAGTCTGCCACCATGTCCATAAGATTTAAGTTTGGTCTGACTAGAAAGATGATATTTTGGACGTCAGAAGATGGCAATCTTCCTTGTCGAAGGGGACACATTGAAATAACGTCATGCTCCTGAAGAAAAGAACGAATTAAGAAAATCAGTAATATAGTAAGATTTTGATTTATTGTGAAAATAAAAAGGAAATAACTGTAATACTTAGAACTGCTTTTGACGAATGAGTTCTTTAATAACACTTTTGATTGTCATTAACAGAGAACAATTTAACGATGGTACAAAATATTTTGTACTTCCAAGAATCATATACTCTCCAACTACTGGTCACCATGTAACTTGAACTTGTCATATGACAGACACAAAATTGATGTAAGCTATTTATTCTTTATTACATATAAATATATAACTTTATTATAGAAACAACAGTACATTCTTGTATATAAGTGTATGAAAGACATTTGGAAAAATAGTCGTTAACAGAATAGTAAATTCCCCTAACCGTTAGGTTCTGCTTGTTTTGGTTTTGGTGAGTTGATAAATATGGTATGTTCATATTTTTCTTTTGTACAGAAAGAAAATCTAAATGGTGACCTTGAGCTTTGGACCCTAAAATCAATGGGGTTCTTTATCATTCACAAGCAAAAGGAGCTGTGAAGTTTGATCAAAATCTACTTTTTAAAACTCTAGATACCATCAGAAGGTAGATGTCTACAGATGGACAGACAACGTCATCACTATAACTCCCACAAAACTTCTTTTATGGAGGGGGGGGGGGGAATAATGATTCAATATACAACCTTAAAAAACAGACAAATTACTCATACACTTTGATATTATGTCAAAGTTCAGCTCTCAGTAAAAATATAAGAATTTACTTACCTTTAGTAACACATATTCAGCAATCAATCCAAAAGGTCCAGTAAGTTGTTCGTCCCAAACCAAAGCCTGAAAATTAGTAACATTATGATAAATACCACTAGTATTATCACAACAAAGCAATGGTATCATTAATAGTGTCTTAAAAAGTGTAACCAAATTGTCATAACTGAAAACTGGCACGAAGATTGTTCTTTAAATCAGAATTTATCAATGCATATACATAATGTTAATAACATTTTATAAAACTATTATCTGTAGTTCCTAAAGACAGAATAAATGCATACACTAAAATACAGGTCTACTTTTTCACAGCCATAAAATCATTATTCATTTTAAGCCTGATCATATAAAATTTACACAACTACGTATGTCCGAAAGTATTTCTGCAGTGGGAAAAGTTGTAGTGTGGGAAAATATGTTTACAATCATCTGATGATATATAATAATATAAAGTAAAACTTGTATGGGCTGACTAAATGGGCATCTTCCCTTACTAATCTGTTAATTTTTCATGAATATTGTGTTTTATTTGGATGAAAGAAAACGTGTAAGCTTACTGAACTTAGATTTTGAAAATGTTTTTGATAAAGTATGGGCCACAACAGATTAGCTATGAAAATAGCATTGGTGAGAGATTGGGGGGGAAGGACTAGTAAACTAGATGGATCAATAAGAAAAAAATGAAAAGCTGTTATTAACGGAATCCCGTCAAGCTGAAACTTGTTCCTAGTGTGGTTCCTTGAAAGTCAATACTTGGACCTTTGATTTTTCTTAGTTACATTATAAAGTTTTCTAATGATATTAAACTCTTAGGCCTTTCTAGTTGTATTAAAGATGTTCACATATTACAGCATGACTTAGACCAATTTAGTTGGACACATTTGGGTTATCATAATTTGGATCATACATTTAATATCAATAGGAATCCAATCAACAGCATGACTGAAGAAAACGATCTTGGTATAGAGGTCAATCAAACCAACTGGATAGTGCCCTATTATCATAGCAGAGCTAGTAAAAACAAGAGTGTATTTATACATATCGTGATTACAAGTCAAAAAGATATAATAATCTCTTTATACATATCATGATTACAAGTCAAAAAGATATAATCATCTCTTTATACAAATCACTAGTTAGGCCACACTTTGAATACTATACAGTTTAGGTGTCCTTATCTAAGAAATGATAATGACTTATTGAAAAGGATCTAGAGAAGGGCTAATGGGATGATTCTGGAAATCGAAGGATTATTTTATGGGGATAGGATAAAATCTATCTAATTTATTTTCTCTTAAGAAAAATAGGGTACAAAGTATCTTATTGAAGTTTACAATACTAACTGGAGGGTCAACAGGACAACAGCCTCCGATATCTTTGTGCAATATTCTGAAGATTAAAAGGTCACAATTTTTAATAGTTGAAAGAAGACAGGTTAGGCTCCAGTGATTGGCTTATAGAATGAGTTGCTGTTGAGAATAGCATAGCCCAGCACTTTACAAGAGTTTAAAAGCAGAATTAATAGAGGGAGTTTTTTTTACTTTTCATCAAAGGTGAGTATGCAGGACCTTAAAGGACAAAATGGCTCCTTGTTGTCCTTATTCTATCATCATAAACATATTTAAATCAAATGGCAGGTATAGCTTCCCAAGTACACCATTTTGTTTCTATTTATAAATATAATAATGTATCGTTTCATCAGTTGGATGGCTGCTCCCTGTTAATAATATTTATAGCCGTAAAACCGATAATACTTCATGAGGTTTAATCAGCTTAGAGGACTTAGGTAGATCCTAAAACCATACATTAATCCAACAATGCAAAATTAAATCAATAAATTTGATGATAAATTAAAATTAATACAAATAAATGTATTACAATCAACATTGTCAATTAAAACAATATAAAATAAAGAAGGATTACTTCCATACAAGTCATGGAAACAATAGTTAGCTAAATTTATATAGTAACTTAACAATCCAAAATAATCTTAATAATAAAATTACAATAATAAATGTTTTGAATAAAAGTAAATATACGAAGACATTCCAAACAACACATTGTACTGCAGCTTAAAATTACCTTCAGATACGTTATTTTTGCAGCAAATGATCACCCAGATACATCTTTTTTTCTATTTAATTAAGTTTTAAATATAATTATACAAGAAAAATCTTTATTTTATGTAACAACACGGGATTTTTGTATTTTCACACTGTTTATCTATTGACAAAAACTATAATACCTTATTGTGGTTGAACAGGATAGCAATAATACACTAGTACTAAAAGTAAAGAAGCAGACCAAAGATCTTTAGCTCAACTCAAAATTTGATGGTTGAGTGTTTGAGTTAAGTTTGGCATTGTACAACAGTGCATTTAATTATTTGCAAATTATCAATATTAGCCAAATCCTGAAGTTTGTAAGTACTTGGTTTAGGTCATGTTTAATTAAAAAAGCAAATAATAATGGTAAATAATTTGGAAAGAGTTCCATATGGCACCCCCACCCAAAAATTGTAGAATTGCCTGGATAAAAAAAGATTCTGAAAAGGGTTTATTTTAAGGGGCGTATTAGAAAAATTGGGGCACATACAAATGTTTAAATAAACTAGGATACAAACATGAAACTGTCAATCATTCTGAAAATTTTGTGGACTCGAAAAGTGGTGCATGTACAAACCTAATAGAGAATCGGTGGTGGTGTATCAAAAGACAACTACCAACTACACATACCAGGGCAAAGACATTTGACAAGCATTAGTGTGAATACATGTGGAGAACATTATATTCTGATAAAAGTAGCCTTTTTGATGCCTTTATACAAGACATTTGTAAAGTTTATCCCCAAGAAGATTGTACATCTAATTAATGAAGTAAGTGGTATAATAATCTATTAAAATTATCAGATCATACTATTAATATGATTTATTAATACATAAATATTACTTTGATGAATTTTTTTTTAAATTGAGTGGGGGGTGCCATATGGAACTCTTACCAATAATTTCTGTGGTATAAATACAAAATAATAAAAATAAAAATCTAAAACATTAATTAATGATCACTTATAACAACAGCATACAATTACAACAAACATTAAGTGTTCAATAGATGTCGCTGTAATATCGTTCAAGAAAAGTGGGCGTGTTAAATAAATACAGACGTTTTTAGTAATACTAATACATATGATTACTCTAGGCCTAACGCTCGTTCAAGTCAGATAACAGTAAGAACTAAATAAATATGAATATTTTCCCTAAACGAATAATCGCTGTAAAGAAATATAAACAACCTTTGTACCAATACACTTATCCAAGCATTCTAATAATTCGCGACGACCAACTTCTCGCAATTGTCCAATATCTACTCGACCAGAGCTCAAATGAGAAGCCATTGCACTTTTAGAAACCTAAACACCGGAAGTACAGGATAGGCACTTCTGGTGATACGAAAATTGTATAATTAATTAAAATACCGTTCCTGAATATGAATTGATTTTGGCACCTTGTAGTATGAAACAGACACACACAAAATCTTCGTGTGATTTGTGAGTTTAATTTTTTTTAATTTTTCGGTTTTGACAGAAGTAACTATTAGAACTAATTTTGTGCTGCGGTCTTATACAAAGCAGTCTGAAGCTTTAAACAGAGTGCGTTTGACAATTTGATCACATGCGGGTGAGGACTTAGACGGAGCGGTGTTGAAAATGGCTGTTCAAGTTGCTACAGGTACTGTAATTTTTTTTATACATATTGTTGAGATTTTACAAGATGTTTTTCTTTGTTTGTATTACAGTAATACGTATGTAATTTTGATGTATTTAAATATTTTTTCACAGAGAAAGAATATCGAGAAAAGTTACTGCGTATGGTGAAAAAGGAGGTGAGTAGATTCGAGTCTTATGTCAAAATAATATGAATGAATTTAAAAACAAGTGATTAAGTTTAACTGTAAGTAAAAATATTATAATTTATAAATGTCTGTTTCAAAACTGGTTTTGTAATGTTCTGAAGCTAAAAGTTGGTGTGCTTTTACATGCATTTTCCAAATTTAGTCATTACACGAAATAATGTTGAATAGTATGTCGTATTTGAATTATTTCTTGATTGAAGTTTAAATTAATCTTTTTTTTTTGTATAAATATTTGATGTGTGAATTTATAAGTATTTAAAAATTTGACTGATAAAATGGCAGTGATATTTTTGTTTTTAATGTAGTAAGTAACAAATATCAAAATACTTATTAAAATAAAATATAAAGATAATTTTAAAGTAAGAAATTTCCGGTAATGTTAATATGCATGAGAACGTTTTTAAGTTGGTAATGCAGTCGTGAAGTAATAATCAAATGTTATTGCTTTTTATTACTAAATAGACTGAGAAGAAATTTATTTTTAATGTTGTTTTGGCAGTAAAGTTAGAAAAATCGACTTTTAGTATCTAGATGATAATAGAAAAAAAATTGTCAACATTTTGCCAATGTATTTGCAGCTTCATCAGGGCTAATAGTAGTACAACTACAAGAACTATAACTTTTTATAAATGCCTACTTTTAATTGATAGATGATCTTGTAATGAACTTAAGTAAAATTTTTGTTTGAACCTAGTGTCATGTAAAACATTCAAACTGTTTTATTAAATAATGCATTTCTTTACAAGACTGATATATCATATGTAATAATTTCTCACTTTCAAAAGGTTCTATTGGAAAGCTTATAAAAGAGCATGTATCATCAGCCTTAGAAATGTATAGTATGGGTAACCACATTATTCCTGAACATGATTCTTAAACAATCTTTGAACTTAAAAATTGTACTTTTAGGCAGAGCTTTGGGTTTATAACGACTAAGGATTTAAATATAGCCTCATAAATACTAATCTTAAATCAGCATAAAACCAGCCCAGTTTCGTTTTTTCTAATAAAAAAAAAAATGTTTTTCAGTATATGTTGATTTGCTACCATTAAAATTCTCATTAATAGCAGTAGTAACTAGTTTTTCTAATTAATTTATTAAAATAGCATGTATTTATCTTTACAGTATATAGTTTTGAAGATTTATAATTAAAATATCTTACTAAGTGTTTTCAGCATTTTTTTTTTATTTGATTTTTGATTTACAGTTTTTATTTATAGTATTTTAAATGTCAGTAAATAAGACCAAACTTGAAATGCTGGTGCACTGTATTAAGAACAGTATATTAAATTAACAATATTAATTAGTGGATTTATTTTTAGTTCTGATTTGCGTAGGTAGTTTACGTGGATCAGAAGTTAATGATTATGTAATAACTTATGATGGGGCTCTATATAACTAATTGGGTATTGGGTTTAGTGAAGCAAATAAAATACACGAATAATTGTTTATGTAATTATAGAGTTTGAATTATATTCCTTAAAAGTCCAGCATGAAGTTTCTGTAATGCTCATGACCTGTATAGATGGCAAACTTTCACTTCGACGAATATTAGAGCAAAGCTGGTTCTTTAACTTGTTATTAACTCTAGACAGTTAGACTTGTTATTAACTCTAGACAGTTAGACTTGTTATTAGACAGTTAGACTTGTTATTAGACAGTTAACTAGAGCAGCATTTTTTTTATGTCCAGTCCATGATAGCTTCCTTGCTGGTCAAAGGAAAAAAAATGATACGGAATGTTAATTTGTAGATCATAATAATTTTTAATGTACTTTTAATTTATACATCACACTATTTCTTAATTTAGTTTGTAATCTGAAAATACAGGCGAGTTCTTGGTATTAAAAGGGATACACTGGCTTAAAGAACACAAGTTAAAAAGTTTGGAAAATTCAAACACTGCTCCAGGCAGTGTTAATATTCTAATAGCATGCTCAGCCTATAGAATGTTGTAGTATGTGCTGGAACACTGAAGGAGATGAAGAGCGGATGGATTACTGTTTTAGAGATCAGGGTTGGATATAAGAAACGTCTTTTTTTTTATATGTGGCTTGGAAATGGGTGATACCAGAAAATTGGATATCCAAGATGAATAATTGACCCCTTGTTTTTATTAAGAAATGGGCAGTGATACATACGAGTGTATCTTTTTCTGACCAGAAACATAAATATACGTCACGTCTTTCGAGATCCACTTCCACAAATTAATCACCTGTATGATCAGTAATGCTCTCTCTCTAATGGTTAAGTGTTTTGTATTTTTCTTTTAGAATCCAACTAGCTAAGTTAATCCTTATCTTTCTATAAATCAAGTGAACTCCTTACAGTTCATGGCCACTTTGTCCAAACCATTGATCGTTTCCAACACACAACTTTGTTTTCTTTCTTATTCCACAAAATTTGAAAAAGAAAGGGGTCTAGTATCAAAGTTTGAGTTTTATAAGATAAATAATTGTAGAATCTGTTTTCTGACTTCTTTAATGCAACACCTTGGAACAAACCTACGAATTTATACAAAACAACTATTTTAACTAAAAAAAACAATTTCGGTGAACACTTGCTTGTTTTTTTTCTCTACAGTCAAACATTCAGCAGACATTTCTAAGTTATTTTATTTTATTGAGCAATTAAAAATGTACTTTAAGCTGTCTTTCTACTTGCTATTGAACATCAGTTTTATAGCTCATTCATACAAATATTTCTCAATTTAGTAACTTTTAAATTTTAGAATATTGAAAATAGACAAAACATTGAATGATACATTAATCCAACAACAGTGAAGGAATTTAATTGAAATGTGAAGTCCGTCAAGAGGTTTTAATGAATCTTCATTCGGTGATGCAGTATTATGGTACCAAATAATTACTCAGCCTAAGAAATAATTTCATGATTTTGGAATTTGTTGCCTGATGAAGCAGTGTTTGATTATAGTGTAATGCAGCTTTGCGTGGGAAGATAATAAACATTTTATTATAGTTTCTCGTACAAGTAATCATAGGGTACAAAATTGTTATTGCTCGATTGATAGATTCACTTGGGTTAAATTGGTGCAGAATAAAGTTCTCACTTTTTGTGTTCAAAACGTGAGTGTTCCCGGTCTCCATGTCAATCATGTGAGTGTTCCCGGTCTCCATGTCAATCATGTGAGTGTTCCCGGTCTCCATGTCAATCATGTGAGTGTTCCCGGTCTCCATGTCAATCATGTGAGTGTTCCCGGTCTCCATGTCAATCATGTGAGTGTTCCTGGTCTCCATGTCAATCATTAAAGGACGTCCCAATTCAACCACTGGATGCACTTGAGGGTTTTATATGTAGATGAATAGAAGTAGTTAGTTTTACGAGTTAGGGGGTATAAGTTGGAGCCCCTTTTGTTACTCTAAAATCACTGTTGTTCTGTTGGTATCTTGAAGTCAGAAGTAATTATAGCTATTTCACTTTTTCTTATAATATGAATTCTAGAGTGTAATAATAAAAGCAGAATATGAATTTCAAATGTAAAAAAAAACAATATAATTTGAAATATTTAAGACTAAATTTATTACTAAAAATTAGTGTTTAAGTTATATATAGACACACACACACACACACACACACACACACACACACACACACACACACACACA